AGTGTAATATTAATAATGGTTAATAGGCAACAAGTGAATGGGGTCGAGACTGTTGCCTAGTGACCTTCAGGGACATTTCATCATCTTAATGGCGGGTAGTTTGAGGCGAACAACAAATCTGTGACAGTGCACGCGTGAACCTTGACAGCGACACTCAAATTAGAAAGCCCTCGGGGTGTGGCGGTTTTGGGGGGTGGAGATGTGGGGTGTTAACCTCCTTCGAACTAAGCAGCTTTAGCACCCAAACCCCCCCTTGTCACCTGTCACTGCGGTCTGGACTGTCAATAGCACTTTAACAGACATATAAGCAAGCGGTTCGGGGAAACGGAGTGGGATCGGCTCAAAGGGGAAAAGCTGCCCACAAGGTCTGGTGTTTGATAAAGTCTAGTTACCAGAATTACTGGTGTATTTGTGGATTCCGATTGAGACCGCTGAGCTCTGGAGCGAGTATATCAAAGAGTTACCAATGGGTAATGCATCCTACAAGGTTTCGATTAATTTAATGATGTTTTTGTGATCGAACCTAGAAAGTTTCGATTAACTTAAAGACGATTTTGGAATCAATAGTACCAGCGATTTTACTGATGGTTTTAAAAAAGCCTGTCATCGATTATATCCCACATTATAAGTTTATTAAGCATTTGTGGTATATTAAAAAAAAGATAAATTTCTTAGGCATTTTTGAAAATTCTTTTTTTTTTAATAAAATATAAGTGTTTATTAAAAAAAACTTTAATTTTTTAATTTACTTTAAAAAAATTGTACTTGGGTATTACTTATAACTTAAGAAAATTAGAACCAAAATGGCCCAAGCCGTATAACAATCAATTTATCAATTTATGAACGACACTCTTTTTATATAGATATTATGATACCTATTTTTATGAGAAAGCCCACTTTCGTTATTTTTCAGATTTTCGCAACCTCCAAGCCGACTTGAGAAAAGGCCATTCGACCCTTATAATCACAGCAATTAGTAATTACGCCTGCCCCACCCATTTTACCTCATCGCTATGCCTCTCCAGGTTCACACCTGCCCCGGCACTTATCCCTTTTAATTAGGCGCCACCAAAAGGCAAATTTTTCGAGCACAAGGAGGCGGCCAAGTGGTAAAAAGCCCTTTGCGAACCCCTTCCAAACCCTTTCCAACTCTCTATCTGTCTGTTTGCTTTCCCTTTGGCAGATGCTTCGACTGGCAGCGGTGCCCGATGCCTTTGGCCCATTTCTAAATTTTCATTTTAATTATTGCGAGTATTATTCTGAAAATCAAGTGAGCGGCAACTTTGGCAATTGCCACACGCCCCCTCAGGCGGCAGTGGGCATGGGGGGGCGTGGCAGGAGACTTTTGCGGCAGCTGTTACATAGCTTTCATCCGTTTCCCCCCCCCCCCACTTTGCCACCTGACAGCCCTTGCTTTCTCCTGGGAGAAAGCTGGTGTCTGCATGTTTCCGTATCTGTGTGTTATCATATTTCACGCCTATTAGCGTTTTAATTTAATTAACATTTATGGCGACAGTTTGAGCCGGCTGCAGTGGAAATATACGAGGCATTCGGAGAAAGGGTTTCGGAAAAGCAAAGAGTGCACTCTTCTGCGAATTCCCTGACGTCGAAACTTTAACAAAAAAGCTTTAATCAGTTCAGCTCCGTTGTTTGACTTTTGAGATAAGCTGGCTGCAAACTTGGCTGCAACTTCATTGCGATTCTGCCGAGGGAACTCAAACGAAGTTATATTAGTTACCAATTCCGGAAATAATTTCACGTAACTATTTGCACGTAATGCCAGCCAGACAGTTGGAGCGATGTGAGAATCGGATAGCAGCAGTCCATCCACGCCTACAGGTCTAAATTTATTGAAGGTCCTGCTTTTGGGTTGGACATGGTCGAGGCAACTTGGGCTGGAAATTACTTCCGCTTGTGTAGGGAGAATACCTTTAAGGGACTTTAAAACGATTGATCTCGGGGAGAGGGGAAGTTTGAAAACACTTCCGTTGCCTATTTTCCTATTTGCCTATTTTAATAACATAATTAAATTCATCCGCCCAAACGCACAGAAAATGTTTTAAATTCCTTGTCATAGAAACTGTTTTGTACTTGTTTTCCTTGTTTTAGTTTCCCTGTGGTTTGAGAAAATCATTATAACAATCAATCAATTTTCACCAACTTTGATTCCTTCTGATTTTGCTAGCGGTTCCTTGGCAATTTTCGTTGGCATAAATAACTGAATTTTCGTGGTGTCAGCTTTAATTTAAATTGGTTATATAAATTAAGAGGTCCAGCAACTCCCCTTTTATGTGATAATGTTTACTTTCATGAGAAAATTTATTGGAAAAAAGAGTTTTGGGGTCTTCGCATTGACATATAACATTATCACTCATACGTACTGTTGTCTTCGTTAAATAATGTATTTTTATTTGGGTGGCGATTTGATCCACTCACTTGATTTTTGATCTTTAACAATTATCTTAACGAAATTAATAAGTTGACAATGCATAAAATGGTAAACTATTTGGTTGGAGTATGTAAATTCTAACTGGCATAAGTGTCGTATGAGTAATTTTAAAGAAATTTAAGAAATAAATAAAATTGTTTAGCTCTTGAAGACATTGGTTGCTTACCAAAATCTACAGTATTTAAGCGTGAGAATAAGATTATATTTTTTTGGCCATCCTAGTGGAGGTATTTTCAAAGGAGTATCAAATATTCAACAGAAACTAGCTGGTCGCGATAAGATATGGAATCAGTTACATACTTGTATCCTTTTCCATCCCTTACAAGGTTTGAAATATCTTGCATTGCTTAGTACCTTAACCTGTGTATTTTTCCACCTAATAGTTCTCAATTTTTCACCTTTCCTCCGCCATAGGTCAGACCTAAAGATAGAATGGCTTTTCCGAGACCCCCTCCCCCTTATTTTGCCACGTTTTTCCGCTTTTATGTTAACAACAAAGGCAGCGGCAGCAAATGAAGAGGCTGAGAGTCGAGAAGAAAGAAAAACATTGCAAAGGAACTCGTGGATGGGGCATTGTGCATTTCACCTTGGACTGCAGGCAAGCATGAGAATTTAATGAGCAGCCGCTGCAGAAGCTTTGAGGTTGAAGTTGAAGTTGAAGTTGAAGCTGCATCCGGGGTAGGTGGTTTATAGTTCTGAACTGCTTAAGTTTTAATCGAGTTATTGGCAGACAGGTGAGACGATGTCGGGAATTAAATGGTCTGTTTGAAGTAATTATAAATTCACACAGGCCCAATTTCATTGGCACAGTAATTGCACGAGAATGCATTTAATTTCAAATTTAATAATTCCCACGACCGACCGAGCCAGCTATTTTCAATTTAGCTATTTGTGGTTTTGTGCAAATTCAGTTATGGTCAAATTGTTAGACATATTGCGCAATTACATACATTTGGCTCAGACTCTGGAGTTTGGTTTGCTTTGATGGCAAACAATTACATGCCATTTGTTGTTTGGGCTTTTCAAATTTGATTTTGTGTTTTGTATGTTCAAACTTGCATGTGGAATTGCCAGAGCCTACAGATTATGTGGTTATGGTTAAGTAAATGTTTTTTAAGCCATTTACATTAATATTTAACCAAATGCATAAACACAAATGAAAACAAGAAAGGAGCCAGCCGGAAGTACAAACATTAACCATTGCCATTGTTTTGTTTACATTTATACACTTTATTGTTTGAGTAAGCCGATTTAAAGTACTCTATTAAGGATAAATTATGAAGCAAGATTGGTTAGTTTAGTCAAAATATACCTGGATTGGATTTATCTTCCAAATTGAAGTTTTAAATAGCTTTTAAACAAGTTTCGGCCATCTTTCACAGCTGTGTGCTTGTTTGCCAGGTTTTTTGCTCGGCTAAATGGAAAATCTTTTGCCAATTAGCCACCCAATTATCACCTTTAATTAATTGAATCCACCAGCGCTTGCGGTCCTCACAATCACACTGCAGTCTCGTTTTCCCATTTTCCACACTTTTCCCGCCCCGGCTGATTTCCATGCTAATCACAAGCCAAACTTTCAACTTCATTTATCTTCGAACTCCCCAGCAGTCGCACTCTTTCAATTAATTCAGGTCACCACTACAGGGGCTATACCTTGCTAATTGGGATTATCTATTATCGGGCAATCGGTATTTGAATAATTAAAACGTCAAACTCAACTAGTTCGGCAATTGCCGGACTTTAAATTGGTTCCTGGGGCGGCTGCTAGGCAAAGAAGAAAAGAACCCAATTTTTGGCTTTTTCAAATGCAAATTTCATTGCTCATACGACATGTGTTCCGTAGTCGTACGTGATGCGTGTGACTCGGTGTCGGTGGTTTGTTAGTGAATGTTCGAGTGTTCGAGTTTCGGTTTCGATTTAAATTGATTTTCGTTTTTGGGAAAAGATCCTGACCAGTGTGGCATATTTATTTTTCGTTCGCTTGTGGCAATCGTTACCATTTTTCCCACCAGCATGAGATAAAGAAAAGGCTGGATGGAAAATATCTCTTATTCAAACGTGACATTGGGTGGGGCATTTTTAATATACGAAACCGAATTCCTATTTTAGTTATACATATTCCGCATATGATTCCTATTGGCTAATCACATATTCTCGTAGTCCGCGCCATGCATATAAAATCTGACACACCCTCCAATTTTCCAACTCCCACATTGCTGAACTGAGCTATTGCCTTGGTTATGAAAAACTTTGCTTATGCATAAATTTTCTCCCAACGCGGGGTGAAAATTGAAATGCTTAAAAGCGCATGAAAATGTTGTTACAAGTTTGAAGTTTTTGCTGGGTCGGTTTTTTATGGTGAGCCGAAGCAGAAACTTTAAATGCACGTTTCAGTATGTGTATGTATGTGCGGTGAAGAGCGACTGGGCTATTTGTTAAGAGTATTTCTATGAAATTTTCAAGGCTTTTGTTATGGAAACTTTCCCTGAGCGCCGGCACCAAAAAACTGCTAGAAAAAAGAAGAAAAAAAAATATTTCCAGAGAGCTGCATTACAGGTGGGAACTTTCGTTTACAATTTAAATATATAAGTGTAGTTCTTTATGTGAAGTTTTGCTAATTTGCATTAGTTAGGCCCAGCCAAAGCCGAGTAGAAAGCCACCCAAGAAGGCCACACACAGACGACCGCTGGTGGCACACGCTTTCCTGGCCTTATCCCCAAGTTCTTGAACACGGATGAGGTTCATCCCCTCCCCGGCGACTTGCAGCTGCCCATGAGTTTGATCCTGATCCTGAGATTGGGACATTATCTTGAGGACATCCACCCGGACCAAACCCGCCTGCATTGCGAGCTCGATGGCCAGTATGGTACCGCCTACAGCCACGGCCACCATTTTGCTTGCCTTCAGGAGCACAAATCCGGTGAGAAAGCCCCCGGCAGCACCCATTCCGATCTGACTATAAGGCGATCTCTGGGTAAGGTTATTCATAGCTGAGGTCAGGCATTGGCTTGATCAGGAGCTCTAAATTCTGCACTGATTCTACGTACTACTCTTCACCACCGGTAAGTCACTCATTTCAGCTGTTTTTCTACGTTCTCTGCTGTTTTCTTTACATTTACATAATTTCGGTGACCTTTTTTTTTTGAAAGCTGTCGCTCAGCACAGCATGCTGCTTTGCTCAGGACCCTCCTATGCGCTTCTCACACTCCCCAGCTGCGCTCAACTGAGCAAATGACCGCCAGACCGTAAACGTCTAAGCCGACAAAAACATCAAAGTTCGAAGCTGCTCATTCAGGACTGGGAACCCCGACTTGTGCATTAAATAACTTTGCATTTAATAGGTATTGCAAGTACACGTTTTAAAAGTTTTTAATAAGTCATAAACATACCAGTGTGTATACAACACATTTGCATTGGGCATTAGGCGATTATTGTACCGCAAATTCGCTTATACGATAAAGTATAAGAATATCTTCAACAAGGAAGGGATTGAGCTTAATCTGTGATTTCTTTATTATTTATTGGTTGAAACTGTAGATTGAAACTATATTTTAATTGCGATTCCTTTAACTTCACACAGAGAGATATATTCAAGTACAATGTTCTTGAATTGAGAACATTCGTTCTTAAAAACCGTGTAAGTAAATTTTGGTATAAATGTTCTCAATATAAGAACGAAATGGTGAGAAGGGAAAAGATAAATTGGGTTTATTTTACAACTTTTTGATAAGTATACACTACTGACTAAACCAATTGTTTATTTGTTGACATATACAATGTAAATACCGCCAATTCAGCTTGATTCGACCAAAATGAAAACATTTTCAATTTTAATTTTAAGAACATTTTTAACTCAGATGAGGACGTCCAAAATTTCTCTGTGTATACAATCCGTTTGAAAATTGCCAGGTGTTAAATATTTTCTAGCGCCCTTTTTTCCCAGTGATTCACCTTTTGGTCAATTATTTAGCTGAAGGTAGTGCGGGGCCTTCGATGGAAGAGTTCACGTTTACAGTTCAATTGCCTTGGGGCCATGAAATGGCATCGGTTTCTTTTCGTTTGAATGCATTTTGGTTTTCGGTCGTTCCATTGCTTTTATTTAATTTATCGTTCAATTATGCGCCCAGGTCCAGCCACGCCCAAACCAAATAGCAGAGGCCCCAGGAGCTGTCGAGGTGTTTTTCGCCTATCTCAAACTGAAAATCAAATTAACAATGAGCACGCAAATTGCCACAAATGACTGCGGAACTGGACTCGAGCGGAAAAGGGAATTCAACTATTTTCCGAGCGATTATCTAGGTGGAGTAATGCAGTTTTTAAGTGCTTTTGTGCAAACAATATCTCAGTCAGACAACGGCAGTGGACGCCCCTTGGCAACTAAAGTGTTGGAGCATTTAAATTGACATTAATAGGAAGGGTAAAATGTGAAATTGTCTTGGCCGGAGAGGGAACTTGGTATAAGAACCACACATGAAATATAAATGAAACAGAATGCAACTTGACCATAAAATGTGAGCTCAACTGTGCGAAAAAAGGGCCAACACAACACCGGAGTATGCGACTAACAATTTCCACATCAATGCGAAACGTGTTTCCCATGCGGCGTATTTTCTCCTCTCTGCGAAGTTGGCACAAAAAATCTTGCTTTTGAAAGTATACTTTCCCTCGTCCTTTTCCTCTCCTAAGCTCTGATTTTATGTCCATTGTTTAATACAGGTGTTTGTGGAAATACGTGAGCTGGGTAGGGAATGTTTTTACCTTCAAAGCGTGCTGATATAAATAATTTGAATATTTTTCAGACATGACAAAAAATTTATATTCCGCATGTAAGATGCAGGTTCTCTGCAGGTTTTTACTACTATTATCAATCAGGGGTTGGGACAAATATATCGTAATAAATTATTTTTAACAAATGGAAATGCAATAAAATTACTTTTCAAAAATTAAATGAAGGTATAGTATATATGTATACCTAATTCAACCACCAGTAAACATAATTTCCTATCTTTGGCTATGCTCGTTATTAAAAAACGTCAATTTATACTATTCATATTAATATCTTTGTAAAATATCAAATGTTCAAAAAATTAAAAGAGGGTAAATATGCTAATGTGGCTTTTATAAAGCGATTTAGGAGAAGGCTGATGAACTTAGCCCATTTTATATTTTTTTTGTGTCGATCATATATCAAATATTATATATTCAAATATTATATTTATACCTAACTTAGCTATTGACATCCAGAACAACTGTACTTTTGAGTCACTTGCGGTTTTACATCATCGTTGGCATCCAAATTGAGCTTTGCTCTATTCAGCGAACACAAAGAAAACGCGCCACTTGGAGATGAAAGTGGCAGGCGCAACAGTACGTATACGCAATACATATTTACACAATTTAGAAGCCAACTGCAGTGTCCTCGCCCCGACCATATGGTTAATGTGATGTGGGATAGCTGGTCCTTGGGCTCCGACCGGACCCCAGAAACTTTGGGCGCTTGTACGGGCACTCGCCTGTTGACATGCTGTAAATTTGAAAACAGTCATCCACTGGATAAAGTGTTGCATGTTGGCTCAAAGCAAACGATTCGTTCCTCCAGTTTGCTTGTTGGCTGCTTTATTTGTGTGCGGGCTTGTACAACAAATTAACTGCGGTGGGTCTGGGCTAGGGAGGGGTGTTTTCTGGCCAGGATTGGCAACGTTGTTAGTTGCAACTTGCCGGCGATGAACGCAGCTTTGTGGTGGCAGCTGAGGGGGCAGAGCCTGGTCCACAGTTCGTTGTCGAGTTAAATGGTTTGTCTGTTTCGGAACATTAATTTAGATGCTGCAAGCAGTTGCAAGCACGAGATTCTAGTGAGAAATGCCCCTGAAATAGCGTAACATTTAGATTGAAGATTTGCCAAGATGAAATACTATAATATGATGTTCTATGAAGCTCCTTTTGCGTTTATCTAAATACTACAAATAATTGGGCTGATGTTTGAATATCAAATTAAAACACCTCTTAACGAGGTAAAAAACCAGTGACGATCGCACCTTTAACATACAAAAGTTGTGATATCAACTTTGAAAACTTTATGCGATCGCCTAAATAATTACAATTTCAAAAATTTGTATCTTTCGGAACGCTGCAATTCAATATGATTTTGATCAATTCTGCCGCTGAGCACAGCCTCCTGATGCGCTTCGTCACTACGTGGACCGCCATCCGCAGTGATAAATATAATCGTTAGGTATCCTATCGAAAATCATTCTTTTCATAATATGCATGAACTGCAATCGTAAGTTAGCATTAAAAAGAAAATAAAAATTAGAAGTAATGTTTCTTCTGCTTGATTTTCGTTGTAATAAAAATGGACCTTTTAGTTAGACCTGGTGAATATCTTTCATTTCATTTGTTTATTATATCCCAACGCTACAAGTAAAGACTTATTTTTCCTATATTACATTATATTTCTCTAAATTATCCAAAGAAAATTTATAATTGCCGCCAAATAAATCACAGGTTACACAGGCCGCAGAACTCTGAGATAATACAATGCCTTAGAAACCCATACGGATGGAAATTCATGCTCAAATGCATCGATGCCAACCCAAAATGTGGTTTCCCGAAATGGATAAGGACTTCTGCGGAGCTCGGGAGCTGAAGGCAAAATAAATAATTATCCAGATTGCGGTGCATGCGCACTTGAGGGCAGAAGACCGCAGGAGGAGTACGATTTCGGCGACGAAATCAAATTTTGTTTTAATTAGTGACTGATATGTTTGACGCCAGCTTGCGGTTCGTGGGATGTGCGTTTTTGTCCTCAGGCCTTGACTCTATTTGGCTGTTTGTGCAATTAGTCCTTTAGCTAGCTGCCTACAATTGTGGCCCAATTAGAATATTCTTTATTTGCGCCCTGTGAATTATTTAAAGCGCCAGCCAGGGACTTGGAGAAGCACATATTTCGTCCCTGCAATTCCATCTCGCTTGAGTGTTTTATATGAGGTTCGTGCTGGCTGAGACCTTTTGGGTCAAATTAGTGTGACACGCAGCACAGCTTAATGTTGGAAGAAGGTCTCGCAACAATGTCTCACAGTTTGCATAAATGCATGGGGCACCCAACTTAACTTTCTTTCGGTTGCCGATTTTTTATGCATTTACTACGTGACTCCATCCGACGGGCAACACAAATTGTTTGCCGTCTCCAGGCCAAGTGTTTAATAAATAAATTACGAAAGGCGAGAAAGGTTCTCCGGGGATAATTGCACTATTCAGAGCGAAAGTGATAAAAAAGTTTCTCATTCAATTTGCATATTCTTCTGAGATCGTTTTGGGACTTAACCATTGCTTATTTTTTGTAAACTTATCTTTTAAGCTTGGGTATTGCTCTGAAAATACGAGTTTTTAGATACGGGACAAAAAAGATTTTACTTATGGTGCCTAAAATTATGCAACTGTATATTTTAAGCCCAGAAGTACAAACAATTCATTCAAGAAACCTGCAAAATTTATTCATTGCATACTTTTAGACACCTTAAAAGTAATTTCAAACCCTGGTGATGTGGTGTGTGCATTTTTTTCTTGACTGTCCGATTTTTCTGATTCTTCAAGCACGGTAATTCTGTAGTTCACCCATTTTTTGTGATAAAACTTGTTTTTGTTATTGAAAAAATTGGTTAATGAAACCACCTCTGCATTTGGACTTTACGGCTTCATTCGTCGTAGCGTTAAGCCTGCGGTCCTCTTAACGAAGAGCCTTTCACTTTACTGATTGTGGGCACCCGATGATGGGGTTCTAACCAGGTGGAGATACCTGCAGTTGGCATAACGACGCCCCTTAATTAGCAGAAAATATGCGCAAATCGAAAACCAAGTAAAATGGCAAAATTGGCTAATTGGAATGTTTCTGTGCTGGGTCCGTTGTTTTCGAAACTCGGCTTCAGAAGGCTCTGTTGTTCCCGCGTGTTTGGCTTCGGTTTTTGGTGGGTTTCAGGGGGGAAAATACTGTCGCTCCCGAGGATTAACATTTGATTAATGCGCAGCCCGATGAGAGGCTGACTTGGGTCATGTTCGGACCAGTCATGCATTAGAATGCAGCTCACTGCCTGCTGGGTTCTATTAACACCCCACTAACAGCCCATCCTACCACCCAAAAAGTCGTTCCTACGCCAAAGGCAT